ATAGTTAGTATAGTAAGTGTTTATTTTTACCCTGCGGGCTTAAAAGATTCTTGACACTACAATTTTTTTGTTAACAAAAACCAAATAAATATATTTTATAAACTCCATAACTCATTTTTTTTCCTTTACCCCATCCCCCCTTGCCCCAGCCTTACTCTTGTCCTCTCCACTTCTTTCATCCATTTCACCCCTCTTCCGTCTTCATTCAATATCTCTGTCACACTCTCCTCTCTTTCTTTGCTCTCCTCACAGTCATGCAGCATGTGCTCTATCGTCTCTCGCCCTTCTCCACAAATCCTACCCATTCTCTCACCTTCGCTTACCCAAAACTTATTATTTCTTTCTTCATTTCCACACCTAAATCTCGCAATTATTATTTTTTCTTTCGCGCGCGTTTCTGTTATTATTTTTCTATAGTCTGCATTGTACCTAGATTTACTTATACTCGTTCTTCTCTCTTGTTTATCTATGTCTCTGTCACGCATACACAACTCTTCTCTCATACTCACCCCCATTTCTCTCTTTCTCTCTATTTCCATCCATGCGTATCCTAGTCTTTCATAATATCCTTGTCTACCCTTGTGATGTTCTTTCCCTGCTTCCTTTTTTTTTCCTTCCAGCCTTCATACAATATCCTACATTCCTCTTTTTCTTTCAATCTTTCATCATACTTTATAGCTCTTTTCCCAGTGTATACTTTTAATTTCTCTCGTTTACATTCTTCTCTTACTATATAGCCTGGCGTCTCTTTCGGTAGCCCTAACATCCGCCTCAAATATTTTTCTTGTACTGCTTCCATCTCTGCATATTCCTTCCATCCCCATATCTCCACTCCATACATTAATACACTCCTAACTAAACTATCAAACATTTTCATCCTTCTTCTTACGTCATGTCCAAATATTCTCTCACCTATACTCCACACCATTCCCATTATATGCATTGCTTTGACCCTTCTTTCTCTTATGTGTGCTTTTACCGTGTTAGTTGTTGTAAACTTAAATCCTAAATATTTAAACTCCTTTAGTGTGTCTATGATTCGATCTTCCCAACGCCATACTTTTTCCTCCCCTTTTCTCCCTTTTTTTCTAAACACCATCCTTTTTGTTTTTTCTACATTCACCTCCAGTTTCTTTCTTTTAAAGTATCTTTGCAGATTATTTTCATCTCATTCATTCCACATTCATCCTTCGCCAATATTACCAAATCATCTGCAAATGCCAAACACCATACCTTTTCTCTTCCCACCACAATTCTTCCCGCTTGTACTCGTCTAAACATTTCCTCGATATCGCTTATGTAACAAGCAAACAGACTGGGACTTAATGGGCATCCCTGTCTCAATCCCTTCGTCGTCCAAAACATTTCACTTTCTATTCCTCCCAGTCTCACACTAGTCACTGTCTCTCTATAAATCTCTCTTGCTGCTACAATTAACCTTTCACTCAGTCCTCTTCTCTCCATGCATTCCCCCAAACATTCTCTGTCCACCGTATCAAAAGCGGCTTTTAGGTCTACAAACAGTGCATATACCCGACCTCCTTCCTTTAGTAACTCTTTTTCTATTAGATGATGCAGGATATATACATTGTGCATAGCCCCTCTACCTCTTCTAAATCCCGCTTGACTTTCCGGTAATATACTCTTTTCGTTCATCTCTGTCACCAACCTTTCATTTAACACCATTGCGTACAGTTTATATGCCGTATTTAGGAGAGTTATTCCCCGATAATTCTCTACTTTTTCTTTATTACCCTTTTTATGAATTGGGCATATTTGCCCTACTCTCCATTCACTGGGAAAACCTTTACCCGTCCACACATCATTCATTAACTCGCTCAATCTTTCAATCATCCCATCCGTCCCAAATATCCACACTTCGTTTACCAACCCATCACTCCCCGGTGCTTTTCCTCTTTTCAGTCTTCCTACTTGTTTTCCTACTTCCTCTACTCGAATCTCAACCTCCCTTTCTCTACCACCAATCCCGGTTTTACTATCTTGCACTACCATTTTCTCTTCCTTTCCATTCACTAGTTCCATAAAATGTTTCCTCCACTGTATTACAGGTATGTTTTCACTAATCGTGATTTTGTTCTTCCGTTGTTTATTTATACACTGCCATGCCCCTTGCTCAGTTCTTATGGCTTTAATTTTTTCTTCCTCTTTTTGCTGTATATCTTCTTTCTTTTCTTTGCATCGTTTTCTATAATTATTTTTTGCTTGCCAGTACTCTTCTTTTATACCGTTCCCCTTTTTCCACCTTCGTAAACATTTCATTGCTTCTGTTTTTAAATCTCTGCATCTGCTATCCCACCATTTGTTTCTCTTTTCTAAATTTCTCGTTACAATTTCTTTTCTTATGGCTGCTTTTTCAATTTCTCTTTTTAATTCTTCCATTTTTTTTTCAGTTCCTTTTTCTTTAAATTCCACTTCCAACATTTTTTTTTTATAATGCTCAATTCCTTTTTCATTCCAAACCCATATCTTTTTCTCTTTTCCTACTTCATTCCTTAAGCATCCGCTCCCTCTACTTATGCCCCTCACATTTACTTCTAGTGGCATGTGATCGGAGTCCACTCTTTCTCCTATCTTGAATGTTTCTACCTCTTCTTCTGCTAATCCGTTTACTATTACGTAGTCTATTACCGATTCCCCTCTTTTACCTATCCAGGTAAATTCCCCCTCCTCGTCCCCTTCTTTACCCCATTCAAAACTTCCCAACCTCTTTAGTCTAGTTTTTACTTGTGGATTGTCATTACATTAATATTTTTTAGATTTGCTTAAACAGGTGGCTAAAAAAAAATTAATGAATGAATCAATTTATTTTATTGATTAAATCAGGAACGGCTCACTCCATTTTCCGAGAAAATTTTAGGAATACAATACTGTTATTATTCGTATTACACTTTACCAATCCAAGTTGATAAACATGTCGTTGCACAAATGTTGATGACGTCATCGGAAAATTGTGTAAATAAAAAACTACACTCGAAAATATGGATGTTTCATTGTACTTCAGCAGCGAGGGAAGTTCAGTCGAAACAACTTTAGACCAATTTTTTTGAGAATGTGAAACCGTCTCGGGAGTCCAAACCGTCTTTTTTAAAAATGTAAAATTTTCTCAGGGGTCCCAACAGTCTTTTTTAAAAATGTAAAACTTCTCAGGGGTGCCAAATGTTTTTTTTTTAGAATGTGAAACCTTCTCGGGGCTCGTAACTGTTTTTTTTTTATTGTAAAACCTTCTGGGGGGCTCCAAATGTCTTTTTTTAATCTGAAACCTTCTCGGGGGTCCCAACTGTTGTTTTTTAAAATGTAAAACCTTCTCGGGGGTCCCAACTGTTGTTTTTTAAAATGTAAAACCTTCTCGGGGGTCCCAACTGCCTTTTTTAAAAATGTGAAACCGTCTCGGGGTTCCCAACTACCCTTTTCAAAAATGTAAAAACTTCTCGGGGGTGTCAAATATTTTTTTTTGCAATGTGAAACCTTCTCGGGGGTCCTAACTGTTTTTTTTTTAATGTAAAACCTTCTCGGGGGTCCCGACTGCCTTTTTTAAAAATGTAAAACCTTCTCCGGGGCGCCAAATTTTTTTTACAACGTACATCATTGTCAGGGGCGCCAAAAGTCTTTTTTCAAAAATGTGAAATCTTCTCGGAACCCCAAATGTCTTTTTTTATGTGAAACCTTCCCGGGGGTCCCAACTGTTTTTTATAATTGTCTAAAACCTTCTCGAGGGCGCCAAATGTCTTTTTTATAGAATGTCTAACCTTCTCGGTTGAAATAATTAACCCCGCCCACCCACCCGCCTCTATTTCAGTGATTAATTTTATCGGCTCTGAATGAAAGGTGTAACTCATACTGTAGAGGAACAAAATTTGTCGTTAGAATAAGAAGAGGGCGGGTGGGTGTTGCTAATACTTGCTAAGATAAGATTGTTTTTAGTAAATGATATACCCTCTAATAAGAAAATAATGGGTGGGCGGGGCGACTGTTTGCTTATAAGACTCTGTAGAAAAAGCTAATCTTAGCCCCGCCCACCCACCCGTTCTCTCATTTGTCTCTTCTGAAATAAGAAATAAATCTTATAACAATTAGTACAACAAAAAAATTACGATTAGTGCTTTACTTGTTTTATAGCCAAAATTCTATTAGTTCATTTTCCCAGTATCCAGAAGAACAAATAATTATGATACGACATTTCTCAAAATTAGATAACTCCAATAATAAAAAAATATTCGAGTGAATAATTTAATAAGTAATCCGTGAACAAGTATTTTGGGTTGCATAAACACAATTTTTAAAACGGACACTATTCGTGAATCACCCTGTACAAAACAATGGATATATCTATTTTTCTGTATAACAGATATTACGCCATTTCCCACATTTAAAAATTTTACGATGACGTCATCACATTTTTGGATGGAAAGAAAAAACGCAGCCTAATATTTTTAAATAAAGTTGAAAACAGCTTTCGTTTCGAATTCAAAAGTTTCTGTAATCAAACCAGGAAATTTTGATCATTGTCCACTTTATTCTATCAAAGTATTTGGGGATTATGGAAACTCACAGTGTGGAGGTGGAGCAGTCTAAGACCCCTAGCTTCTGGGTACCGACAATAGTTTTGCGTGCGATAATACCCATAACATAAACATTTATCGTTCACTTAGGACAGCGGAGACACGAACACATTATGGAATTAATTAAAAAATTCCTGTTTCGTGTTAAGCATCGATAACACACCGCCTCCCTTGCTCCCACGGACCGCACGCCCTTGTGCCGCAATAAACAACGAGGAACGATTTTCAATTAAACCGTGTTAACTCTTCCAGAGATCAAAGCGGGACATAATTTCTCCAACTAAAAAATTAATTGCTTCGTCGGAATCCATCCCAGATTACTTAACCAATTTAAACCTTAATTAAAGAAAAACTCGTAAAGAAATTCCACAACAATCGTGTTCGCGCCATCGCTAATCTCATCCCGCCTTTCGTTTCCAGATAACCGCTCCACGCTTTCCAGTAGTGCTAAAAATCGGCCACGCCCACGGAGGTCTGGGTAAGGTGAAAGTGGACAACATCAACGATTTCCAAGACATGGCAAGCGTGGTGGCCGTCGCCGACACTTACTGCACCGTCGAACCTTACATAGACTCCAAATACGACATCCACGTTCAGAAGGTCGGCACCAACTACAAAGCCTTCATGCGCAAGTCCATCTCTGGATGCTGGAAGACCAACACCGGGTCGGCCATGCTGGAGCAGATTTCCATGCCGGAAAGGTACTGTTGGTTAATGTTGTTTGTAAACGTTCAAAACTTTGCTCCAAAGAGTTCTTCCGCCAGCATTCGTACAAACACATGAAGTTGTGTAAATGTGACAGGTACCGCACTTGGATCGACGAGGTCTCTGATCTCTTCGGAGGTCTAGACATCTGCGCCTTGGAGGTGGTGGTCGGGAAAGACGGGAGAGAGTTCATTATTGAAGTTAACGATAGCGCGTTGACTCTGCTCGGGGATTCCCAGGAGGAAGATAGAAGACATATTGCCGATTTGGTGGTGGCGAGAATGCAAGCGATTTGTAGACCGAGAACTCCCCCGAGCGAAGAGCCGGTGCCGCCACCGGTTGGACCGAGGGGGATTTTAGGGAGCTTGACGAGTCTGACGCACTCGGAGACGCCGCCTCCGAGTGCTTCGGAACATCCGCCGTTGGGGAGTGTAGGAAGGAGGGACAGTCAAGGTAGGGGGATATGTGAAATCACACTTATTGTTAATTATATTTGTCTTTATATATTCGATCACGATCTCATCTAAATTTGGTCACATTTTGAACGTTAGTTTACACACGAACCGTTCTGATCGTGACAATTACGTCGTCTTTGCTTGTGGTACTCAAAAAAAAGTTTAGGTTTTGAAATAGACTGATATTTTTAGTTCATGTTTGATTTAGGAGGCTTCGATTGAGTGAAATCTAAGCCCGCCACACCTAGAATGTTGACATTTGCTCCTTTTTAGTGCCCACGTTTCAGATATTACGTTGAAAAAGAGCAACCTGATATCGGAGTGATTACCCTGAAATTAGTATTGACTTTTAAAATTTTTAGTACTGCAGTGCATTAATTTCCGTAACGCCAACGTGATGCCGACAGCAGATAACTTCAGCGGCTTTGTAAGATAAATTCATCGTAATTATTGTAATCATAAAGTTGTTTTACACACCAAGACAAAATATGGTGACTGATTTGGGCGTTAATTTGGTAAATTCTAGAAGTGGTCGATTATCCATGCGAAATTTTGTAAATTTTGTAAATATGAAACTTATATTGCTTACTATTTTCGATGTATAAATTATATCGGGTGATTTAGAAAGAAGAATGATGAAATTAGTTCGTAATTCTGATTTCTTTTTAAACTGGATGTCTAATTAAATGGATTTCAGGCCTAAGTCAAATGTGATCCAGATGCCCCACTATACCGAGTGCCTGGAAAATAGCGGATTAACCCTCCGCTACGCTCATAACAATTTGTGAGTCTGGGAAAAATATTAAAAAAAAGCAACTAAAAATGTTTGACGTACCAAAAATTGTCAAAGTTTTCAAAACCCTACGTTTAAAATGTTCGCAATTAATTTTAGACCCCTGATATTTTATTTTCGGATAAATTTAAAGGAATCTGAAGTTTTGTTGCTGGATGAACCGGAAAAAAATCTTTTGAGCTTTTAGTGTTTTATTTTTTATGAATATGAAAAAGTCTCGAGTGTCGCAGGGTTTTTTTTAATTCGGGAGACTCTTGGGTACCCATGCTGTATTATTTTGGGAGCCCATGGAGATTTTTTTTGTAGATTATTTAGAACAATTTTGGGAGACTTTGTTTTTGGAAAATTCTAAGCTGACCTGTTTTTTTAGTTAATTTTGAGACCCCCATTTTTTTTTTAATTTAAAACCTTCTGGGGTTCTAGCTATTGCTGTTTGGAATGAATTTGAAAGTGCTTTGTAGCCTCTAGTGTCGTTTCTTATAATAATTTAATGAAATTTCTTTGAAGATACGTCATTTACTGAAATCAGTCTTATCTTAGCAGGTACTAGCCCCGCCCACCCGCCCTCTTTTTCTTAGAGGGTACCTCATTTGCCAAAATCAGTTTTATCTTAACAGGTACTTACCCCCCCCACCCGCCCTTTATTTTCTTAGAGGGATCTCATTTACCAAAGTCAGTCTTACCCACCCTCTCTTCTCTTAGAGGGTATGTCATTTGCCAAAATCAGTTTTATCTTAACAGGTACTAGCCCCGCCCACCCGCCCTCTCTTCTCTTAGGGTGTATCTCATTTGCCAAAATCAATCTTATCTTGGCAGCTACTAGCCCCGCCCACCCACCCTCTCTTTTCTTAGAGGGTACGTCATTGCCAAAATCAGGTTTATCTTAGCAAGCTAACTTTTACAAAAAATGATAAAAATTTGGAAACATTACGAGCTTACTTATATACAGGAATTTTGAACATCTTCTCTAGTATTTAGTTGGTTATGCTTTAATGGATTTTTCTTATGTTGGTTTTGTTTTTGTATAGGTATACAAAATTTATAAATTTCTTATTAAATGATTTTTTGTTTATTTATTAATGAAAAATAACAGCTCGTTTTATTGATAATCATGCACAACGAATAATGACTACTGGTTGTCATGGTTATTGTCCTAAAAAAGGTGCAGTGTTGCCAATTTTATTTTTATTATTATTTTGGGACTCCTGTAACCCCCGTATATAACGTACTGAAGAGTTAATCCGCCATTTTCCAGACACTCGGTATAGTGTATAGTATTGTTCAATCAAAATCCCCACTAAAAAGTGGATGACGTCAGTTCAACTGAAGTCTTAAATTTCAGTTAAAAAAAAACATTTATAATAAATTAATCTACAAAATGTCACACAAACAAACAAAGAAATAAAAACAATGAAATTGATTCAAGAAATGAAAAGTTAATTAACAAAGTACACCCGGTATAATTACTAAGACAGATGTCATTGTAGACTGACAATTAAATTCACATTAAAACATATCAGAATTACGAAATTAGGTAAGTCTTCAAATTTGAAGTTTAATATCTTAAAAAATGTGATTCAGAATTTTTTTTCACCAATTTTTTAAGATAATTTCCCATACTATTGCAAAAATTTTAGATCTTCAAATTTTAAGAACGCTAAAATTTGATGACGTCATCACAAATATTGTAAAGAGAAGAGAGGGCGGGTGGGCGGGGTTAGTACCTGTTAAGATAAAATTGATTTTGGCAAATGACATATCCTCTAAGAAGCAGAGGGTGGGTGGGCGGGGCTAGTAGCAGCTAGAACGAAATCGATTTTGGCAAACGAGATACCCTCTAAGAATAGAGAGGGTGGGTGGGCGGGGCTAGTACCTGCTAAGATAAGATTAACTTTGGCAAATGAGATACACTCTAAGAATAGAGAGGGTGGGTGGGCGGGACTAGTGCCTGCTAAGATAAGATTAAATTTGGCAAATGAGCTACACTCTAAGAATACAGAGGGTGGGTGGGCGGGGCTAGTGCCTGCTAAGATAAGACTGACTTTGGCCTCTAAGATAAAACCTATCTAAAATGTGCAAAAAATATTCTGTGTTTTATTAATCTAATTGAATCTTATATGTAAGTTTTTGGAAAAAAATGTAAAAATTGCACACGTTTTAAGATTATTAATCATCCCTTTCAAAAAAGGAAAACGTTATTTCAAAATTTTGTAGGTAAATATAGCTTGAAATCTGTAGCCATGATTATCTGGATGACCGTAAAAAACAAAATTAGTGACAGTAAATTTTACAGGTTGTTTCAGAAATTATGAAACGATTGTTTTTAATAATGGCCGGAAATTATCAAGTGATTTTTTAAATTTCTGTTCTAGTTGGCCATGACGCCATCAACCGTTTTAATTGCACTAATTACGTACGCGTCATGGACAACTAGCACAGAAATTTAAAAAAATCACACGATAACATTGATTTAATGATTACAGAACATAGAGTAGGATCTGTAGATTATTTTTTACAATTGTTTATAGAGTATTCTTAAAAAATTATTAATTTTGTTGAATAAATAAAAAGTGAATTGTCAATTTTGTCCACGGTACTATGTTTTAATTTTAATATACAGGGTGACTCACTAAACAAACTGAAGTTGTACGGTTATTTGAGAGTTATATAATAACTTTATTTTCAACTATACAGAGTGTTCTGTTTTTAAGGTGTAACACACAACTTAAACGTTTGAAATGAAATACCCTATATTTCAATGTGAAACTGATTTACCTCTTCTTAAGTTTTTTAATCAAATCACACTTTATTTTTATTATCTTGAATTTTCTTAGCAGTGTAAGGCTTCACAAAAAAAATCGCAGTAGGATTAATTAACCTCTGTAATTTTTTTTTACGGAGAGATAAATAAAGATACACTTAAATAAAGCTACGTTTTAATATAGAGCGTTTATAAAAGATATATGATATTTCAGTTTTTTCCATTTTTTCTGTTTCTGATTTTTGTTAACCATTTCTATATTTTAAGTTGTTCATTATTGATCGATTTTTCCTTTTTTAAGAGACACATCAACATAGTGAAAGAAGGAGGACAGAAAATAGAATAAGATTCTGTAATAAAATGCAGGATATCCTATTTGAAAAAGACTGAAAAAACTGAAAAATCAATGTTCGAAATTTGTACGTTTTATTATTTTTTATAAACACACTGTATATTAAAATGTGATTTTATTGAGACCACAACTTTTCATTGCTAAAAAAATTCAAGAAAACTAGAATAACGTGGCAACGTCGCATCCGAATTTTAAAAAGAAACTGCGATTATAAAGCCTACGAAGATGCTAATGAGAATATGTAAAAATATTTTAGGGCATCTGAACTTCTGATCGTACAGCTTCAACCTATGACTTTTTTTTCTATTTTTAATAATTGGTGATATATCAGGGACCGTGAACTTAGTGACTCACCCTGTATATATAAATTGTTAAAAGAAATACAGCATTAAATTTTGTGCTTTATAAAGGAAACTGTAAACTCTAAATAACTGTGGATAATGTTTTTAATGCAATGACCTACATTTGTATTAAAAGTAGTTCTTGGGACCAAAATTGTTTTTGTTCAAAATTTCTATTAATTTTCGAATGCTGTAACCTCGTAAAATTTATTTATATATTTTTATTAGTTCTAACGTATTTTTAATTTTTTTTTAAGAGACTACAATGAGAAATTCACAATATTTGAAAGAATCTTTATTTTTTGCGACACAGTACTCCAAAATTAAACTACACCAAGACATTCCAATTTTTCTGAATCCAAATATATAAAAATAACCCTGTCAAAAAATTAGAACGCAGTAAGACAGACTCTTGGCTGCCAGCTCAACCGTCTCTAACACTTTGATATATTACATAAACTGAGTTTCAGCCTAATTGAATACCAAATGCGGAAATAGGGGGTGAGCTAAGTTTCTCGAACATCCGGTGTGTGTACCTTCATTTATTATAAAGTGCCTCACCTTAAAATTCACCCACGAGTTGTGACTAGTTGATTGTTTTATTTCAAATCCAATTATAACTGTCAACAGTCTTATGTACAAATAACCAAATAGTATTTCAAGCAAAGGTGACTTTAATCAAGATCATTTTCGATAGCACCATATTTACTTTTGCTTTGTAGATTTTGTTCTGACATTTATCACATGTAGGTAGGTCTACGTGCCCTGAATTATAAGTACATTGCCTTGTAAATATTTATGTTATATATGTTAAATTTTCATAATATATTCCGCTTTATTTTTGATTAAGAATGTGGTTGCAACTTTTCAAAGTCTATTTTTAGTAGGAGTTGAGTGCAAGTACTAAAACAAAAACTGTGTACATATATGTAAATGTGTAATATGTGGTTGCTTCAGCGTCCCAGACCAGCACGGTTAGTAGCAGCGGACCCAGCACTGGCCGTCTTCCAGATCCTCCACCTCGACCGTTCCAGCGCCAAGGCAGTCAACAACAAGCATCGACCGAAGACACCGAAGACACAATGAAGAACTTAAGAAAGACATTCGCCGGCATCTTCGGCGACATGTAACCTCGTTAATTAAAAAAGAACGACTGTTTGCTTTTGAATCACAAAACCAGACAGGCCAAAGCAATATACCTGCATAAAAGGTGTGTTACTCCACTGCCTAGGGCCAGGTACTCGTGGGAAGTACCTTTTGTTATGTTTAGCCTAGTTGTTAAATTGGATGTATAAGTTACTCAGTGTAATCGTTACTAGACGTTTTGTTATGGGATAGAGTGAGATACTTAAGGGGCTAATTGAACACATCCTCTTTCCCTTCTCTGTAGTACTTTTACCAAATGTAAAATGACAATATTATTGTAATCCCGCTCCAGCACTCCTCTCTGTAACCGTTTCGTCAACTTATTGTTAGAATGTGGGTTGTTCATCGATTGTTAGAGCAACGAATGTTTATAATAACGTTTCGGAGGATTGTTGCACTCGCCATAGCCCGAAAATTCTACAAACGCACAGAAACCGAAACCCCAAGTGCGCAGCGTCCCAGCTTCTTCGAGAAAACCCGTCGTGCCTTTGTAGAATTTTTAGCTTATAGCAGACGATTCTCGGGTTTATCTTTTGCGATCGGGAACGGTGAGGTTGCGCACACTGGACCGATCCACCAGATAAGCCTCAAGAGTATGACTTACATTGTAATAATTAGATTTTACATGATCTGTAGTCTAGATTAAGTAGTACGTTGTCTCCTGTACCACGTTTGTTAATAAGCCTTCAAATTTTTTGATAATATCAGTAGCTGGCTACGATGTTTTCAAACCATTATCGTTACATTATCGTGAGTTGAAGCATTAATAAGAGTCTGTTCGCGTTCATATATCATATCAGACTTATTTGTAAGGTTCGCTCAGTGTTGACTTGCATATCCACTATGTGTGTTTTTTTGGAGACAACAACTCGAGGTTGTGTAGTAGCTCAGCTTAATAATACGTTCGGGCATATTGTATAGTGTTATATCGATGGAAATACAATAAACAACTCAACAATTGCCATTTTTCTTCATTTGTCGACGTGATCCTCCGAATTATGCAAAAAGGAGCGGTAGTTTTAAATAAATGATTCACAGTAGTGCAGGTGTGCTTTCGCTTAGAACTATTTTGTCGCTTTTTCAATCATCTGAATCATTGTGACGTCAACGGGGGGAGATCAACAACATGATGTCACTTATCGTTATTGTGACCAGCTCATTGTAGATCGACGATTGCCAAGAAATAAATTTCAATCACTTGGCTTTCAGGAATAAATGATTCAGAGCATTGTCTCAAAATAAGTCGCACATTATTGAGAAAAAAATTTATGTGCACGGGGTTAAAAAGAGACGTTTTATGACATTTTCGATTTTATTGCTTTTTTAATAGAGCGGTAGTAAAATCAAGTTATTATTCACCGTGCCAAAACAACGCTACATTCTGTTTTCGCATGCCATTCGAACTTTATTAATTCGCCTTCTTTCAGTGGTTTCAGTGGTGCCTTTAACCTACAATGTTTCACGCTTGGTAGTTGCTACTCAAGGGTAGATGGCGTCCTAAACTTCTTTCACAATAACTATGTCTTTTTTTTTCGGTCCTGTGTTAAAACCTTTTTTTTTCATCCAAGGGCATAAACATCACAATACTTCGACTAGTAGAACACCATACTTACTTGAACAAAACTCTTCACCCTTGATATTAGTACGTCGATCAACGTTCGCTCAATCACCCTTTTCCACTTTTATCTGCTCCCATCTCTCGAGATTACATATTTTGGCTTGCTTTTAGGCTTAACGTAATAAAAGTTATTTCGCCCGATCCCCTCGAGCTTTTCTGTGTTTCCGTTATATTTTATTCAGGGTTTGAGCGCTACTCTTTCAGCTTGAGTTGCTTTCGTTTAGAGGTTACGCGTATCAAGAAATGCTATTTAATATTGCAGATCTAATACAGGGGTGTTTCGAGTTGAGTCAAATTTTGTTAAAAAAGTTCTGCTCCTAATGTATTCTTTGGAGTTGGAGCTAGGATCGATAAATGGCATTTTAAACTGAAAATAAAGAGAGTTAAGGCAACATTAAAATTCACTCAGTGCGAAATTGGGTCATGATAAAAAGTGTAACTGTTGTTGCGGTTTGTGTTTTATGTAGTTAGGATTAGTTCGTGCCGCCACAAGGGTGGCACTGGGTTTTTTGAGCGTAGTAACGTCTAAAGTTTTACTTTAACAGCAATGATTTTGGGTTAATATTGATTCAACAAAATAAGTCTAGTACAATATTTTAATTGACTGGATCCAAAAAAAGCTTTAAATACGAAAAAAATATGTTGAACTTTGAAAACAATGCTAGTAACAGCTACACCATAAACATTAGGAAAATGTTTGAAGCGGCGATCAACTCCGGTCCAAGGTTATATCTCGTTACGCTGGTACCTGGAGTGCCTTAATCCCGGGCCTTAACTCCGGTCCCAACTGATAAGAACGCCTACCGTAAACTTCGCATAAATTTTAGCTGTACGTTTTCAAATTCCAAATTTAAAAAGTAAAATCAAGTCCTTTGCATAAGGAGGGTATACATAGTGGAATATTTCATTTTTGAAAAAGTCGTCTAAAAATTTTCCAAAAATTCTGCTGATTCCAAAAATATAGCGTATTTAGGGTCGCGGAGTAATATTTCTTATAATCCATCTATTATCTATTGTTGCTTAAGAAAACTTTATTTCTGTTTAATAAAATTAAGGTTTATTTCTTGAAGTTCGTTTTTAGCAATCTATTCAATCCCCGTTTTGGGGAAATTCGCTAATCCGAACAAATCGCACATCTTTTTCGCAATTAATTCGGATTATTGAGGTTATATTGTACTTTCTCTTTGTCCGTTCAAAAGTTATGGACCGTGAAACTCACAATTTTGATTTTTTGAGTTTTGATTAAAGGAGACTTTCGTGTAAAATTGTGAAAATTTTCCGCAACCGATGCCAAAAACGCACTCAGCGGGGCAAAATTAGTCTACAAACTTTATTTCAGATGGAATGAACCATCTTTACTTTTTAAACAATTTTTCTGGAGCTACTTCGGTCAAAATTTTCAAATTTAGACCAGTCAAGCTATCTCGGCTAAATAATTATACCTCGATTTGTCTGAAAATTACTCACTCCTATCCCTAATTTGAACCACTTGAGTAAGAATTTGGGGCTAAAAAATTGTAGAAGGGCCTCTGATTTTTTTTTTAATTTTTTAATATTTGAGTCTGAGCAAATTGAACTGGAAAACTACAATACATCAAATGGTAATAATCGGAATATGTTCTCTTTTTTCATTCAAAAATTATAGACCGTCAAACCCAGAATTTGTTTATTTTAGTTTTGGTTAAAGAAAGATTTAGTTTAAAAAAGCGAAAACAACCGATGCTAAAAACACATTCAGCTAGGTAAAGTTAATTTATAAACTAAATTAAAATTTTCAAATTTAGGCCATATCAAGCTATCTCGATTAAACAAATATACCTCGATTTGTCTGAAAATTACTCCTGTCCCTAATTCGAACTTCTTAATAAGAATCTGGGGCCAAAAAAATTGTCGAAAGGCCTCTGAATTTATTTTTAATTTTTTAGTACTTGAGCCTCCCGAAAATGACGCTGTTCGATAAATGTGTACGTAGATTCTAAACGGGCAAGCATTTTGCCCAAAAACTTAGCAAGTAGAACTAGGAAACTTCAAGAAATCGAATAGTAAAAATTTGAGTACTCTCTCTTGGTCCATTTAAAAGTCATGGACCGTCAAACTCATAATTTGTTTTTTGAGTTTTGGTTAAAAAATGATATCGTTCAGAATAGTGAAAATTTTCAACAACCGATTCCAAAACACACTCATCTGGGCAAAATTAGTTTAGAAACTTAATTTCAAGCAAATTGAAACACATTTATTTTTGAGCAATTTTCCGAAGTCATTTCGGTCAAAATTTTCAAAATAAAGCCATATCAAGCTATCTCGATTTAACAAATATATCTCGATTTGTCTGAAGATTACTCCTGTCCCTAATTCGAACTTCTTAATAAGAATCTGGGGCCAAAAAAAATTGTAAAAGGGGCTCTGATTTTTTTTTATTTTTTAATGTTTGAGTCTCCCAAAAATGACACCGTCCGATAAATACGTACGTAGATTCTAAATGGGCAAAGATTTTGTCCAAGAACCTAGCAAGTAGAACTAGAAAACTTCAAGAAATCGAATAGTAAAAATGTGAGTACTCTCTCTTTATCCATTCAAAAGTTATGGACCTTCAAACTCATAATTTGTTTTTTGAGTTTTGGTTAAAAGAGGATTTCGTTTAAAATAGTGAAAATTTTCAACAACAGATTTCAAAACACACTCATCTGGGCATAGTTAGTTTAGAAACTTAATTTCAAGCAAATTGAAACACATTTATTTTTGAGCAATTTTCCGAAGTCATTTCGGTCAAAATTTTCAAAATTAAGCCATATCAAGCTATCTCGATTTAACAAATATATCTCGATTTGTCTGAAGATTACTCCTGTTCGTAATTCGAACTTCTTAATAAGAATCTGGGGCCAAAAAAATGTAGAAAGGCCTCTGATTTTTTTTTTATTTTTTAATCTTTGAGTCTCCCAAAAATGGCACCGTCCGATATATACGTACGTAGATTCTAAACGGGCAAGGATTTTGCCCACAAAACTAGCAAGTAGAACTAGAAAACTTCAACAAATCGAATAGTAAAAATGTGAGTACTCTCTCTTGATCCATTCAAAAGTTATGGACCTTCAAACTCATAATTTGTTTTTTGAGTTTTGGTTAAAAGAGGATTTCGTTTAAAATAGTGAACATTTTCAACAACCGACTCCAAAACACACTCATCTGGGCAAAATTAGTTTAGAAACTTAATTTCAAGCAAATTGAAACACATTTATTTTTGAGCAATTTTCCGAAGTCATTTCGGTCAAAATTTTCAAAATTAAGCCATATCAAGCTTTCTCGGTTGAACAAATATACCTCAATTTATCTGAAAATTCCTCCTGTCCCTAATTCGAACTTCTTAAGAAGATTCTGGGCCTAACATATTATAGAAGGACCTCTCACTTTTTCTTAATTTTTTAGTATTTGAGTCTCCAGAAAATGACACCGTCCGATAAATGCGTGCGTAGATTCTAAACGGGCAAGGATTTTGCCCAGAAAACTAGCAAGTAGAACTACAAAACTTGAAGAAATCGAACAGTAAAAATCGGAGTGCTCTCTCTTGATCCATTCAAAAGTTATGGAGTGATAATTTAACACAATCATCCTGTCAGCTAAATCTAAATCAGTGGGTATCGTAATCCGGAATTCTAAAGAAATCGAACACTTGTCTGTAATAAAAATGCTTTATGGTTCAGTCGCTAGATCGTGGTTGGAATATGCTCCAGTAATATGGAATCTCATTTATAAAATCCATGTGACTAGAGAGAGTACAGAGGAGATTCTTGAAGTATATGATCTTCAAAGCTGACGGTGCATACCCTGAACGAGGATTCCCGGAGGACATCATGTTGGAAAGATTTAGTTTGCACAGTCTTGAGTGCAGAAGAAAACTTGATTCAATTTTATTGCTAGTTAAAATATTACGATTTCAAATAGATTGTTGACTTGCTGATCCTCTTGAGGTTTCGTACGTCGATTGGAAGGTTAAGAAGTAATAACTTGTTTGAGGTAACAGTCCCTAGGACGAACGTATTGTTGGCATCACCTTTACACCAATCCATCAAAAATTAAGTTCATGTTGCAGATCAATTTGACTTCTCAAATTATACTAGTTTGGGAAAAAAACAAAAAAATCTGGGTTTTACAGTTGGGAGTAGCTCTTTCGAACTTTGGAGCTTCTATTCATTACTTCGATCACATTCCACGTACTTTAGTCACTGTAGTGAGAAGGAACTTGGAAACTGGCAAATTGCCACCAGTATGACTTTATAACGGCAGTAATTATTATGTGGTGTAAGTGGAATGCTTCCAAAAGACTATAGTTAATCAAGATAATCCCGTCCTCATATAAATGTAAGTATGTTTATATTTAAATAAACTATACGTGGTTTTTTTAGTCTTCTTTTCAGCGCCATTTCAATCAATCATTCTAAACGACTCCACTACAGCTGCAAAAAGTATAAACAGTATAGGTAATGGAAAAATGTATCAGAGCTTCGAGAATGACTCAAAGCTCACTGGTTAAAAAAGGATAGTGGAAACGGAAACTAATCTGTTTATTTGTACCAATTTTAATTAAAACAAAGTATCCACCATAGCACTTGTTTATTTGGTAGAATGATTTATTAGAAGTATTTAGACGCAACTAATTCAAAATGAAATTTGACTTAAACTTTAAACAAATAAGATCACACAAGGTTACAAGTTAAAGATATTATCCTGGAGGAAACCGAGTTTGAACGATCTGTATTTGATTTTACATCACATATAAATTTTGCCTTTGGCCATTCTCTGAGAAACGAGGCTATTCAAATAAAATTAAATAAACAAATTTCACGAGGATATTTTACCTCGGGGGTAAAATGCTGAAGAAAAATTACAAGGATATGACCTGAGCTTGTTCCAAACCAAACTTAAATAATCATAATGAGCTTTCTTCATATGAATGTGTCTGAGTGGGTTTGAAATAACTGGCAAACACTTATCCAATTTCTCTGTCGGATATAACTACCCGTTCTTGCTCATTAAGTGAAGAAATTTGTCGACTGTGACTAGGACTCTTAATTTTATCGATTTTATTGCAGACTTCCTGACTAGAAACCGCAAAGTAATTTTGGCAACTATAATTATTGTTAGCTTTTTTGCAAGCGAAACATTCTTGTGACCCCGAGCTTTTCTAAAGGGAATTATGTTTTCAAAAAATTAGATTTCTTCTTGTTTTTGGACGTTTTTGCGGGATTTAGTCGCTTTAAAGAGTTTTTTGACCGTGTTGAGTTTTTACCCGAAACGTCTAGATTATATTTGCGTATCTTCTCCAAAAAATATCCAGAATATGAGTCTATACTTGTAATTTATTATTCCATTCATATTTTTCGGATTTCCTTAAAGTGAATCAGTTAATTTATTTTATTGAATAAGTCAAGAATTATAAATCTGACTAGTTTGAAATCTTGCAGACATTTTAAATTTATTGTAAGCATGGTAAATTGTTAATCAAAATATATCTGTTCATTCCCCCAAAAATTGATGACGTCATATAAAAATTTTGCCTAATAAATTCTACCCAAAATGTGCAAAATATGATGAGTTTTTACTTGTGATTTAACACTGCATTCATTAAACATTGTTTAAACAGGTGGCTGAAAAAAAATTAAGTTCACTTTATTTTCCCACACATTTTTGGGAAACAATAATGTTATTTTTAGTATTATATTTACACCAATCCACGTTGAAATACGTGTCCTTGCATAAATGTTGAAAACTGTGTAAAGAAAAAACTCAACTCGAAAATCCTGTTTCATCATACATCAGAGCGAGGGAAATTCTGTCGAAACAACTTTTGACCAATTTTTTCTTCATATGTGTAATCTTCTTTTCACAACAAGAAAAATAAAACAAGTTTAAAATGGTAAATTTTTGTAGGAAAGTATCGATTTTGCAATTAGGCTCCGCCCCTCGTTCTGACAACGAATGAAAAATTCATCCCCATTAAGATCGAGACGGATGGGCGGGGCTTCTCTTTAGGTTTTATTATTTAATTAATGTATTTAGTTTTCTTTGTATAACACTATTACATATTTCAAATAGTAATTTCAGATCATCAGAATTGAGATAGGGCGGGTGGGCGGGGTTTATATTTCCCGTTCTTTTTCTTAATATACATAGCCATCTTTTCACAACAAGAAACTCAAAACATGGTTAAAATGGCGCATTTTTACAAGGAAATATGGATTTTGCAATGATGGAGCGGAGAAAAAAAGGCAAAATATAAACCCCGCCCACCCACCCCATCTCAATTATGACTTTTTTTTTCTTAAAAACTTAAAACACGTTAAAATGGTAAATTTTTGTAATAAAATATAGATTTTGCAATTAGGCTCCTCCCCTAGGTCTGCCAACGAATGAAAACTTCATTACTATTTAGATCAGGGCAGGTATGGGTGAGGCTTAATCTTTGGCTTTATAGTTTTTTCTTAATATGCATGGTATTCTTTGAATAACACGATACACAAAAACATATCTTAATTGCAATTTCTTGTAGAGAAATAATAAGAATTTTGCAAATAAATTCCGCTCCTTGGGCTTTCGACGATTAAAAAAAAATCATCAGAATTGAAATAGAATTGAAACTTAAAACATTGTTAAAATGGTACACTTTTGCAATAAAATATGAATTTTGCAACTATGGAGCGGAGCCTAATTGCAAAATCGATATTTCCTTATACAAATTTTCCATTTTAAATGTATTTTAAGTTTCATGTTGTGAAAAGAAGTCTACACATATTAAAACAAAAAGGCAAAATGTAAGCCCGCCCACCCGCCCTATCAATATTGTGATGACTTTTTTATTCTCCGTGAATCAAGAGAGCGAAGCTTAACTGCAAAATACTTATTTCTGTACAAGGAATTAAAAACATGTTTTTGAGTATCGTGTTGCTCAAAGATAACTATGTACAACAGGAAAAAAGTCAAAATATAAACCCCGCCCACCCACCCCTTCTCATTTGTGACGATTTTTTTTTATTCTTAGAAACTTAAAACGCGTTTAAAATGGTAAATTTTTGTAAGGAGATGTGGCTTTTGCAATTAGGCTCCGTCCCTAGGTCTGCCAACGAATAAAAATTCATTACTATTTAGATCAGGGCAGGGATGGGTGGGGCTTAATCTTTGGCTTTAATTTTTTCTTAATATATGTACATAGTATTTTTTGAATAACACGAAACTCAAAATTTAAATTACATGGTAATTTCTTGTAGAGCAATAATAAGAATTTTCCAATTAAATTCCGCTCCTTTGGCTCTCGACGATTAAAAAAAAATAATCACATTGAGATAGGGCGGGTGGGCGGGGCTTATATTTTGCTTTTTTTCTTAATATACGTAGTCGTCTTTTCAGAACAAGAAACTTAAAACATGTTTAAAATGGTAAATTCTTCTAGAAAAATATGGATCTTGCAATTAAGCCCTGCCCCTCGATCTGACAACGAATGAAAAAATCATCACATTTGAGAATTGAGATCGGGGCGGGTATGGGTAGGGCCTAATCTTCGGCTTTATTTTTCTTAATATACATAGTATTCTTTGAACAACACGATACTCAAAAACATGTTTTTAATTTCTCGTAGAGAAATAAAGGTTTTGCAGTTAAGCTCCGCCCCCTTGGCTCACGACGAATAAAAAAAATCATTACAATTGAGATAGGGTGGGTGGGCGGGGCTCCATTTTGCCTGTGTTTCTTAATATGTGTAGACTTATTTCGGCAACAAGAAACTTAAAACATGTCTAAAATGGTAAATTCTTCTAGAAAAATATGGATCTTTCAATTAAGCCCCGCTCCTCGATCTGACAACGAATGAAAAATTCGTCACAATTGAGAATTGAGATCGAGGCGGGTATGAGTGGGGCCTAATCTTTGGCTTTATTTTTCTTAATATACATAGTATTCTTTGAACAACACGATACTCAAAAACATGTTTTTAATTTCTCGTAGAAAAATAAGGATTTTGCAGTTAAGCTCCGCCCACTTGGCTACGACGAATAAGAAAAAATCATTACAATTGAGATAGGGTGGGCGGGCGGGGCTCCATTTTGCCTGTGTTTCTTAATATGTGTAGACTTATTTCGGCAACAAGAAACTTAAAACATGTCTAAAAGGGTACATTTTTGTAGTAATCAACTTAAATCCTCCACTTTTTCTTCTACAACCCCTTTAAATACGGTAAAATTTGAACATCAAAACGGCAACTTGGCAACAGAGTTTATAAATGACAATTTTCAGCTCTAGAAGCTCGTCAACGGGCACTTGAAAGTCAACAGCAAGTTTATAAATCCCACTTGAGAGCTTTTCCGCGATTTTACGGTCAAGATTTTAGCTGTAAAAACTATTCATAATTGAAAAACGATTAAATTTAATGTGTTGGCGCTTTATTGATTCTAAACTTTCATAAACATTTCTCTATGTCGTGCTGCTATCTGGTGAATAAAATATAATCCAGTTATCAAACAATGATGTTCCAAAATTTGTTTGCTGTAATGAGTGTCGCATTGCTTCGAAAGTGGCGCCATCTGTTGCGGTAATTAAATTGTGTGTTTACGACAGAAATCTAGACTTTAGAAATCCAGATTCAATCAATTTTTGATAAATGTTTGTTCATAAACTTTGTTATGGGTGTACACAAAATATCAATCCGATTTTGTTTCGACAATTGATATATTTATGATCAGCGAAATTTATTATCAAAATGAACTTTGATGAGCAAATATGGATATTACGGTTTCAACAAGTTCCACAAATAACGCTTCTAATAGTTTTTCAAAGACATAAGAAAACCAAGAAGAATGCTTCGAAAAATAAATTTTCAACCACATCAACTTTAGTGAACCACATACAATTTTTGTAACTAAGTTGTTAAAATGGAGACAGAATTCACAAACGTCACTCCATTTAGTGACACTTTAGTGTCGTTGACATATTTTTACATTTTAACTATGTATATATTTTCGCGTGTATCAAAATAACCTCTAAGTAAACCCGCCAAGCCTTCCCAAAAATTACGCAGTTAATAGCCTTATCTCCCCAAACTCTACCTTCTTCCACGTTCCACAACCGGCCCAATTTCCGCGATAATACAAATTAAGTAGTTGCATATTATCTACAAGTACCGGATACACATTTTATCGCATAAATTAAAACCACCAGTGCAACATGTCAACGAAACGCCGGGTTCGTCAGTTGGAATCGTGCAGTCGCGAAATGTTCGGGGATTTGATCATCCACCACCAAACGCCGCCTCCGCCGTCGGAGGCGGCCCTCCAAGCCGTCATCCACTCGGTCCCCATAACCGTGAACATCCGCAAGACCTCCACGCCTTGCAGATACTCCGACCACGAAAAACGCAGAGCCTCAGATCTGGTGGAGGAGCTGCTCGTCGACATCTACAGCCACTTGAACAACATCTCCGACTACAATTCGGCGACGTCGAGCAAGTCACACCGCAGCTTCGTGGAAGTCGACCAATTGCGGATGAAAGGTACGTGTTTGTTTATTATTAACGTCCATATGGTACATTAATAAGGGAGCAGGGAGTAATAATGCGATAAGAATACACGCGACGTGAAATTTTAATTAAAAGCAGAACGCTGACGTGAATGGAGGGCAATCATGAGAGGAAAAAAAGGTTTTGGAAGCCGAATGGATGGCTCGAGTACACCTGTCTGGAATCGATGGAGTTATGCAGGTACCCTTTTTATTGGTGTCGGCTATCAGGCGGATCAGAATGATGGGTGGTAGATCGTGTTGATTATGTCGTAGAGCAAACAGCGGTGGAAATGTTTCGGGTGTTTTGGTTTTCTTTTGACGGTTGTGTTTGCTTAAAAGGGGAGTTGAATAAAATTCTTTGGAAAGAAAGTCGCTTGCTTTGTTGGTCGAAAAGTAATTTTCGTGATGAACTTTGCGGGGAATGTTTGTCTTGGTTTTGTCAACGTCGCTTTTTAAGTCTCGAGAGATCGGCACAAAATGAACACAACATGTGGAGGTCTTACGGATTACCGACACAAAGAATTGTGGATATCACACATTCAGGCAGGTCGTTGTTTGAATTCCAACAAAGTAATTACTGTAAGAAAAAAAATTGATAGAAAGTTCTTTCGACAGAACTTCAATCACTCCTGAACCGCAACCAAATAAATCCCGCTTCTTTGATGAATTATAAAAAATTGTTGCAATTTTTATTTTCTGATAACCACTATGAAGTAATTAAAACGTTAAAAAATTGAAAAATGCAAAATATGAAAAATTCCCAAAACTGAAATGTTGAAAAATACAGAAATCGAGAAATTTTAACAATTGAAAATCCGAGATGAGAAATCGAAAAAGAGAAAAAGAGAAAAATAGAAAAATGGAAAAAGATTTAAAAATAGGGAAATTGAAACATTAAAAAATCGCATCATCGAAAAATTGAAATATTAAAAAATTTTAAAAATCAAACAATTGAAAAATCGAAAAACTAAAAAATCAAAAAACGAACAATCGCTAAACTCAAAATTTGAAAAATTGAAAAAATGCAAAATTAAAAATTGAATAATCGAAAAATTGAAAAATACGGAAATTGAAAAATCCCAAAAATGAAATGTCAAAAAATTGCAAAATCGAAAAACTGAAAAATCAGAAAATTGGATAATCGAAAAATCTAAAAACCGCAACATCAAAAGATTCAGGAATCGAAAAATAGAAAAGTGGAAAAACCTACAAATCTAGAAACTGAACTGGCATTAAATCGAAAAATTGAAAAATTTAAAATCTGAATCAATGGTTAAATCGAAAAATGGAAAAGCTGAAAACTCGAAAAATTAACAAATTGAAAAATCGAAGGATTAAAAATTGAAAAACCACAATCTAAAACCGTGAAGTCGGAAAATCGAACTATCGGGAACTCGAAACATAAAAAAATCGAGAACTCGAAACATCAAAAACTATTCGAAAAGTTGAAAAATCGAAATATATAAAAAACTGAAAAATTGGAATATCGAATAACTGATAAATCAAAAAAAGAAATCGCAAAATGCAAAATTTAAGAAATCGAAAAATTAAAGAATGCAAAAACTAAAAAATTGAGAAATTGAAAAATCCCAAGTCTGAAATGTTGAAAAATGGGAAATCGAGAATTTTTAACAATGAAAAATCCAAAATGAGAAGTTGAAAAATAGAAAAATATAAATATTAAAAGATTTAAACATAGGGAAATTGAAACATCGAGAAATCGAGAAGTCGAAAAATCCACAAATCGGGAAATCAAAAAACACAAAATCGAAAAATTTGAAAACTGAATAATAGAAAAATTGAAACATCGAAATCTCAATTAATTCAGGAACCGAAGAATTTAAAAACAAAAAAATTGAAAAATTGGGAAATCAAGACATCAAATAACTGGAAAATCGAACAATCGAAAAGCCAAAAAGACGAAAAATTGAAAAAAAAACCGAAAGTAGAAACATCGAAAAATTGAAAAATCTAAAATTTAAAAACTCCAAGTACATATTAAAATTTCGAAAAGTTGAAAGATTCATAAATTAAAAAATTCCCAAAATTGAAATGAGAAAATGAGAAATCGAAAAACCCAAAAATCGGAAAAACGCAAAGTACACAATTGAAACATTTAAAAATTAAAACTCGAAAAATCAAAAATTTAAAAATGGAATAACTGAAAAACCACAATCTAAAATCGTGAAGTCGAAATCGGAAAATCGAAAGGTCGAGAATTCGAAACATCAAAAAGTCGTATATTGACTGAAAAACCAAAAAAACAAAAAATCGAGAAATTGCAGAGTACAAATTTTAAAAAATCGCAAAACTGTGAAATCGAAAAGTTAAAAAATCCAAAAAATTTTGAAATCGAGAAATTGAAAAATTCCAAATCTGAAATGTTAAAAAATCGAAAAATTGAAAAATTGATTCATCGAGAAATCGAGAAAACGAAAATCCCAATATAATAATCGGGAAATCGAAAAAGCACAAAATCGGGAAATCGAAAAAGCACAAAATCGCAAAATTTTAAAGTTAAAATCCGAACAATCGGAAAACTGAATAATCGAAAAATTTAAACATTGTAATCTCGATTAATACAGAAATCGAAGAATTTAAAAACCAAAAAATTGAGAAATTGGAAAATCAAAAACCGACTTCTCGTTTTTCGAATCCAAACACCAAAAAACTGAAAAAATCGGGAAATCGAAAACTCAAAAAACAGAAAAATTGAAAAACTGAACATCGAGAAATCGAAAAACCCAAAAATCCGGAAAGTCGAAAATGCACAAAATCGAAAAACTTAAAAATTAAAATTCAGAAAAATGGAAATATTGGAAAATCAAAACATCGAATAATTGGAAAATCAAAACATTAAAAAGCCAAAATGACGAAAAATTGAAAGACCGAAAATCGAAACATCGAAAAATTTAAAAATCTAAAATTTAAAAATCGGAAAATTAAAATTTTGAAAAGTTAAAAAATCCAGAAATTAGAAAATTCCCAAAATTAAAATGTTGAGAAATCGAAAAGTTGAAAAACGAAAAATCGAAAAATTGAGAAACTGAAACTTCCAGAAATCGAGAAGTTGAAAACCCCAAAAAGCGGGAAATCAAAAAAGAACATAATCGAAAAATTTAAAAATTAAAATTTCAACAATCGAAAAATCAGGAAACTGAATAATCGATATATTGAAACTTTGAAATCTCGATTAATCCATAATTTTAGAATTTAAGAACCAACAAATTGAAAAATTGGAAAATCAAAAATTTCAAACTTTCAAAAATAAAAAAAAACGTAAAATCTAAAACCGAATAATCGAAACATCAAAAAACTGAAAAAATTGGGAAATCGAAAAACTGAAAAATCAAAAAATTGGAAAATCGAAAGGTCTAAAAATCGACACAAAAAGATTTAGAAACGAAAAATCGGAAAGTCTAGAAGTCGAAAAACCTAAAAATCTAGAAATAGATCTAGCACCAAATCGAAAAATTAAAAATTGAAAAATTTAAAATTTGAATAAATTGTGATGTCCTATCTACTAGTCACGACGGTGGTTGGTTAATAACACCACTACATATTTATTATCCATTTATTTACCCATATTACTACTACAAACCCAGACTTAACACTTTCTTGTTTTAGCTATCACTTACACTTTTATACACTATTGATGACCTAGTTCCTTGCAATGGACAAGCATTTGCTGACTAACGAATTGACACTTACTCATTCCATTACACCTCCCCCGGTCGGGAGAAAAATTTTTTTTTTCGTGTTCTCACGTTCCAAAAAAAAATTTTTCCTTACATTATTCATGATACTTCTTAACTCTATTCTTATGTACTTCTATTAATTTATTACCTATATTAATTACAACATTTGGTGCCTTGTCTACAACTACAGTATATGGTCCTTTATACACTGGCTCACTCTTATTTCCTACATTGTTTCGTAACATAATTTTCGAACCAGTTGGATATCTTACAATTTTTGAAATTTGACTATCGTACAATTTTTTCCTTTTTTCTTTTGACAAAAGTAATTTGTTTCTAGCGTCATTACATGCGGTCTGAAGTCTATATTTTAACTCTAATGGATAATCGTCGAAACTATACATAGGATCCGTCCGAGTAAGCACATTCGATGGCAGTCGACACGTTTGTCCAAATACTAATTCGAACGGTGTGTAACGTGTTTCGCTATGCACGCTATTGTTGTACGAAAAACACCAGAATGAAACCCATGAACTCCAACTATTTGGATGTTTTGCCACTTGTATTCTTAGATACGCACCTAAGTGTTTGTGGGAATTTTCTAACGCACCTAACGTTTCGTGGTGATACGCTGTCGAATTCAATTGTTTTATTCCTAATACTTTACAAGCCTCTTTGAAAGTTGACGATAAGAATTCTGTACCTTGATCTGTAACAATTTCTTGTGGAATACCATACCTTAAAATAAAATTTTGAACGAATGATTCTGCTACGGTAACGGCTTCTTTATTTGGTATTGGATACGCTTCAACAAACTTACTCAATTCACACTGTATTGTTAATATGTACCGATTATTTTGAACGTCTTGCTCTAAAGATCCTACTATATCTAAAAAGATTTTTTGAAATGCCGAATAGGCTGTTGTTATAATCGCCATTGGTTCTAAATTGTGTTTCCCATGCTTATACCTCTGACAAGAATCACATTTCTTTACAAATTCCTCAACGTCTTTCCGTAATTTTGTCCAAAAAAAATACTTCCTTATATTGTTATACATTCGGTTTATACCGGCGTGACCTCCTGTAGGCAATATATGAAAGTCGTTTAGAATTATTTGTCTCGCTTCTAAGTCATCTATTATTTGAACGTCTTTAATTACGCTTATTTTTAAATCTCTGAACCTTACTTCGTTAACTCTAGTCATTACTTCACGCAGAAATGATGATGATGCATCTTTTTTATTTTTAATTACTACTAGTTCCGGAATCTTATATTTCATAACAATATCTTTGA